AGAGTTTGGCATGGATTTGTTTTAGCGTGGGCGGTCTGTCGGGGAGTCAGACCAATGTAGATTCCAGGTTTCAGAAAAGGTAGAAGTGGTTTCCTTCGGGGGTTCAGAGTTTGTTTTTCTTCGGTATGGAAGTTTCGGTTTGGGTTCGGTTTTCTTGGTAAACTCCTTTTATGTGCAGAATTTTTGGTTGCATTCATCAAGTTGTTCGTTTTGATATGAGTGTTGGTAATGAGCGATTTCGAGGACGAAATCCAATTTAAGTGGGGGAGAATTGTAACACTCGGTTTCGGATTTGCTTCTTTATTAGGGGCTGCGGCCCAATCTTCAGTGGTCATGAGGCTTAGGGCCTCGGGGAAGGAAGAATTTGGCCCTTCTCGGGTGTGGGTGTTATGGTTTAAGTGATCCAAGTGTTCAATGGTGTCTTCGCAGGTCAAGGGTATAATCGTAATTTGATAATTCGGTCTTTTATAAATTTTGGATTTAATTTCGGTTGATTTCAGACTAAATAAAGTTTATAGAAGTGTAGGGCTTCTCGTTACCTTTCCGTGGATATAAAGAATGTAGAAAACGGATAAGGGATGCAAAAGTTATGATCATTTGAAGTTAGAGGGGTGTTGGGCCAAAACGGGTACGCATGGCGTAAAAGGGTGGTACACATGGCGTACACGGGAATTTGGACGCTCGTGCATTTGGGAACGCCCCGCATTCCCCATGGGAACGCGCTGCATTCATCGGGCCAGATTAAAACCCTAAATTAGGGTCTTGGACCCTATTTAAAGACCTTAACTCACCTCCAACCCTCATTTCCTCCAGCCTCCATCTTCTCTAACCCTAAGAACGAAACCCTAGCCTCCATTTGAGTGATTCTTGAGCTTCAAAGTGATTTATGTGTGTTTCTGGTGCTTGAGGAAGAAGAAGTAACTTCTTGAAGAGTCATTGCTTGATTTGGAGCTTTTGGATCCAGGCTTTGTGCACCTAAATCTATCTTCTAGAGGTGTAAAGTTTCAACCTTGCCAACTCTTTCATGTAGTTTCAGCTAAGTGGTATTTTGTTATGGTTTTGGTCCCTTTGAGGTGGTTCTTGTGAATAGAAGTTACTCCAGAACCTTTGAGCTTCATATTTGGTACTCGTGGAGGTTATGGAGTCATAAAGTTTGGATCTTGATGAGTATAAACCTTCCGTGCATGATTTGGTAGTCATTTGAGGAAGTTTGGGACTTAGGGTTTTGATTTGGGTCCCATTGAGTTATGTTAAGTCATAAAGATGGAAACTTTATGACTTAAGAAGTCCTTTAAAATCAGATCTGGAAGTTTGGATTGAGGTCTTAAGGTATTAAGAATTTTTTAAGACATTTTGGGGTTGATTTTGAGCTTTGGGGTTCATCTTTGGTGTTGGGATTCTTTAAGCCATGCAAAGGCTTAAAGCCTTCTAATTTATGGGTTAAGTCACTGTTATGGGACTATTCTGGGGTTCTAAACGTTGGACTTAATGGATTAAGTCTTTAGAATGATAATTTGGAACTTAGCCTTGAACATCGTGCGTAGCCCCTGGGAACGCAGCGCGTTCCATCTTGAGTCCCCGTCAATTTGTCTAGCGACGAATGTCGTGCGTTCGTCTGATCAGTGGAGTTTTTGGTTGTTGGGCTTGGACTTAACTTTGGATGTAGGTATTGCTGATTTAGGCCTTATTGAAACCTTGTGGTGTCATTTCGGTTTTGGGCTACCTATTTGGGCTTTGTTGCTTTGGGACTTTTGGGCCATCTGAGATCAACTGTTAGACTAAAGTGAATTTTTGCGCTTTAGGATAAGGCCCATACGGGTTGGGCCTAATTTGGAAAATTGGGCCATTAGTGGGCCTTTGTGGAACTTTTGGTTTTGGGCCTTTATGGTTTTTAGACTTGGGCTTTAGTTTTGGTTCAAGTTGGGTTAGGGGTAAAATGGTCATTTTATCCCAAGTATAGTTTATAGATCATATTTTGGAACCCAATTGCTACTTGGGTGTTATCTTGGTATTGAAAGCCCAGAGGAATCGTCAGGGCAGCAGCTAGGGATTTCTATCAGTGAACTTCTATTCGAGATGAGTCTCCTCACTGTTCTATGGGTCGAAGGTACCAATGCCGGCCCATTTGGTTTATGTATTGTAAAAAGACCCGGGGGTAACCCTTGGCAGTTTGTATGAAAGACCAGGAGGTGGCTCCTAGCAAACTGTATGTAAGACCAGAGTCAGAATTCTGGCAGTTAATTAGTTAAGTAGTGTAGATTGTATGCTAGTTGTCTTTATGATGCTTGCATGGAAGACCCGGAGGTGGCTCCTGGAACTTGTCTGTAAGACCCAGGGTTGTGGCCCCCGACCTGGCAAGGAAGACCACGAGGCAGCTCGTGGCATAATGCCAAGACTACGGTTAGCATATAGCACTTTTACTGATTGATTGGATATGTCTAATATGTTTGGCTGATGGTTATGTTTGGTATGTGGTATTTTGGGGAACTCACTAAACTTTGTGCTTATAGTTTGTGGTTTATGGTTTCTGGTACTTCCGGTTCGAAAGGGAAGGGTCTGACTTGATCGCAGGGCACATACCTATGCTTTTCTGCAACTTATGATTTTGGGAATTACTCTAATAATTGCTTTAATTTGGAATACCTTAATGTTGGATAAATGTAAATGGATGTTGAATCTATATATATATTAAAAATGAAATTTTTACCCTCGATTTTTGGAATGTTTCAGAATGGTCGAGATATGGCTAGACTTACCGATTCCTACCTTTTCCGAGATTCCTGATTTGAGTGCTTGAATTGATTCCTATACAACTACTAGGAGAGATCGTTTGATTATGGAGTCGGTGATTATGATGGTGCTTTGGATGGTTTGGTCCTATAGGAATTCGATTATTTTTTGCCCTTCGGAAACAATTTATTTTTGACAATATTGTTGAGATGTCGTTTTGTTGGTTTTCTTCTAGGAATTCTAAGGTTAGCAAGAACTGGATTGCATGGTTGCTCAATCCTATGTTGCCTTAACTTTGTCTGTTTCTTTACTAGCCTCTAGCTATCCTTTTCTTGGTTTTATGAAATTTTGTTGTTGTTCAAAAAAACATATGTAGGAAATCGAAATAAAAAATAATTCTTTGACAACCATCACTGCCATCATTTCCATCCTTCAGATCTGGTAAAATTAGGGTTAGAATTCATGAAATATTTCCCAAATCGTAAACGATTCTATGTAATGGAGGCGGAACAAATGGTACCGATTTGTTGGTGGCTAGGGAGGTGGTCAGGGGTAAAAGCATATTATCAGGTGGTGGATGTTTGGTGGTAGAATGAGAGCACCGACGATGATTCATTCTTGTGAAGTTGTGACGAGAATTCATATGGTGGCTGCTTGAGATACTATCGGAAAGAGGAGAGGTCGTCGAAGATGAAAGTGAAAGGAGGAGCGCATTAGATAGGCGGTGGTTGTAATATAGGAATGATACAAACTTAGGTCCTTAATGTCAGGAGCCAAAAGGATCCAACGAGGATCTATGGTGAAATTAAGCAAGCCATATCTTATGTACATATGACATGAGACCCCGGGTAAAGTACCTAAGTTAACATGTTAAAATCAAGTTTACACCCCAGGTTGTAAAAGAAAAAAAAATCATACTACTTTTAAGGGAATTAAATAGCATTTTTTGATTTGAAAAGAAAATAAGGTTTTGTAAAAAAAAAAAGATAAGAACAGAAAGTCAAAGGGGATTTTACGTGGACGATTTCTATGTTTGGGAAATCAGTGGAAAGAATAAAAAGGGAGAAAAAATCATATGCGACCTGTGCATATTTTTGTGTGTGTTTGATCAGAAGTAAGAAAGGGTGAAAAGGGAGACCATTGTGATATCTTTGTTGTGATCTTCTCCTTGACCCCCGCCATTCTGTCGCACTTGCTTACAATTTGATCTTATGTATGTGTGCACTCCACATTCTCCAAACATATAATATAGAATACAAATGATAAGCCTCTTAGCCCATATATTAGTTCCAACTACATAAAATGCCTAGTGACACTAAAATCACTTACAATCCTCCCCCATTTTAGTGTAACCCATGAACTAACATAAAACTTTCTAAACAAACCAAACCAATACATAAAATGAAAATGTCGAAACGATTGAATTCCCATTTTAGTATCAAACAATTCAAATACTCGAGAATCAGGGTGTTCTAAGAATTGAACCCTTCAACCGAACTGAATACTTGAAAGTAAAATACATACTAGTTTATTGAACATTCTAGTGAAATACGACTTGACACTATTATAAAGCAGTGTGTCCTAATCCTCTCATGATTGTATCAATGCCAAGTCCCCAACCTCCTGAAATGCGGCTACACTTCACAATCACGTACAGACTCACTTGTGAGTTTTAGGGGAGGAGATCGGTGGATATCTTCTAGTAAAAAGAAATGTAAAAGGCGGTGGAAGGATCTGATTGGAGTAGAAGGTGGTAGGGTGTAAACTTGCCAAACCGTAGAAAATATTGTGACTAAATTTTAAAGACCATAAAGTTTTGTAATAAGGGACCAAAAGCGTAAGAATCAAAAAATTCTGTGGTAAATATATATATATATATATATATATATATATATATATATATATATTAATTGAATAGTTAATTAGCAAAACTAAATAATAAAAAAATTAATATATTAGAAAAATCAAATTAATAATGCTCAATTAATTTCTATAACATAGGAGTATAAAAATATACTGTATTCCGTTTATGTTGTTGAGGTTGTTAAGATACAGCCAAGCGAATCTTTTTTCCAATTAGATATGATATATGATATTTTCTGTTCATATTATTCTAACTTCATATATGGTAGTAGTCGACGTCGATCAGAGAACCTGGATTGGGAACGGCGTATCACTCCCTTCGTGGCCGCCGTAAAAAACACAGACGGACGGCGATTAACTTCTACGAGCAAAGCATGTTTCAAGCAAAAGTGAGGTCATTCCAAACGATGAAATCTCTGAATCATCTCTATAAGCTATGCAATGGTACAAATACTTCACGCAGTTATTGCATAGATAGTTCCTTCAAAGCCCTTCGTTTTGCTAAAAAATTTAGCACGCTCAATTCTGATACCATCGATGAGATCTTTGATCCCCAAAACCCTAATCAGTTTAGTGAATGTAGCCAAAACCCTGATGGATTTTCTAGAGAAACTTCCATGGGTTTTCAGAGAAATTTAAGTGGGGCTTATGGGCAGAGCTATAACATGGGTGATCATGGTTTCTATCGTCACAACCAATATAACATCAATGGGTCTTATAATCAGAAGAGTAGTGTAGCGAATTTTCAAATATCAAAGAGGTGTTATAGTGGCATAGTAAATTCTCAAGTGCCATGTTACTCTCAACCTAATGAGAAGTCGGATAAAGCTGGTGAGCAAAAGGGATTACTTGAGGAGCTTAATGCTATATGCAAGGACCAGAAATTAACGGAAGTTGTGGAGTTTTTGGGTTTACCTGAGCTGAACAAAGTATCAGTTGAAATGCTTGGATATCTATTCTTGATGAAAGCATGTGGAGAATCTCAGGCACTTAAAGAAGCTAAACTTGTCCATAACGACCTCACAAAGTCAGGACATCATCTTGATGTTCACATTTGCAACAAAATCTTGGAAATGTATTCGAAATGTGGTTCCATGGAAGACGCATACAACGTCTTTGATAAAATGCCCCAAAAAAATCTTGCTTCTTGGAACACCATGATAACAGGGCTTGCTAAAAACGGCCAGGGAGAAGACGCAATCAAAATGTTCACCGAATTCAAAAAGGTCGGATTAAAACCCAATAGTAAGATGTTTCATGGTATCTTTGCTGTATGTAAAATCATAGGAGACATGAAAGAAGGTCTATCACATTTCAAGTCAATGATCAAGACTTACAATCTTGTCCCATCCATGGATGATTATGTACATGTTGTCGATATGCTCGGGAGTTCAGGGTACATAAATGAAGCATTGGAATTCATAGAAAAGATGCCGATGAAGCCAAGTGCAGAAATTTGGGAAATTATGATGAATCAATCTAGGGTTCATGGGGAATTAGAACTTGGAGACCGTTGTGCTGAGATTATTAACCTTCGGGACCCTTCTCGTTTAGATGAACAATCAAAATCTGGCTTGATACCAATAAAGTCTTCAGATAATGCAAAAGAAAACGAAAAAAAGATGTCATCAGAGTTAATTAACAGAGCCAAGACTTTTCAGTTTAGGAGCGGTGATACTTCTCATCCTGATCAAGAGAGGTTATACAGTCAACTTAGGTATCTAAAACAAGCCATGATAGAGGCTGGGTATGTGGCTCAGACTAGATTTGTACTCCATGATATGGACCATGAAAATAGAGAAGAAGCTCTTTTATTACATAGTGAAAGACTTGCTTTATCTCAAGCTCTTTTGACTACTCCAGCCCGTGCAGCAATACGGATATTGAAAAATGATCGTATTTGTGTTGATTGCCATGAGGCAATCAAGATTATTTCGAAGCTGGTTGGGAGACTAATTATTGTACGTGATAAAAAGAGGTTCCATCAATTTGAAAATGGAGTTTGTTGTTGTAGAGATAATTGGTGATAGTTTGGAGTTTATTTTTGCTAATCTTATTGACAGTATTCTATTTATGATTAAGTTATTTATATGTACATGCTTAAAACAAAAAGCTTATCTGATGTTATGGATTATCTTGTCTTTTTCTTGATTACATATTGGGTATCATTCTACTAAGTTATTTATGCATTCCTTTCTATGGCAATGTTGTATGCTTATTTTCTTATTAAGGCATTGTAATATGAAAATTCCACACAACTATAACCTTTGTACTTTGGAGGTTTTTTTTTTTTTTTTTTTTTTTTTAAAATACTTTTTGTTGGGGCATTAAATTTTTTAAAATCTACCCAATTATATTATTGGAGTGATGGAAATTGCTTGTACATGGATGACATTGATAATTTGCTATTATTGAGGGGTGGACATATTTTTCAACTTACAATGCTCTAACTGAGAAAACAAATGGAAGTATGCTGATGGGGTAATAACAAGAATAACAATTTGGGCGAGAGCCTGATTTGCTTTCATTACTGTTGGTGGAAGCTTGATATGGAATATGCTCAACTCAACAATTACACAGTCCAAGGGTATGCCATTTATATACCTTATTTTTTCATCTTTTAAGATTGTATATCAATTAATGTTTTGTAATTATAGAGAAGTAGATGAAACGATGAACTTCTCTTGTAATTATGTATTTGTTTATACTTCTTTTTACCAGCTTTTTTTTATAAATATTACAAACTTGAAATCATAAATGACATTCTACTGTGTTACTATGCTGTTTAATTCCAATAATTTTATATTAGATTACATTTTTGTGCTTATGCTATAGCGATTTCGATTGAACCTGTATGGTGGTAATTTAATCTATTCATTTCATCATTGCTTTTGGCTTTTCAATGATTCTTCCATGTATTTTGGTATGGAATTGCTAACAATTTGAGGATATATCTGTATGTTATTGGTCTATTGCGAGGTTTTGTGTTGGAAATATTGGAAATTATGAAAATTTGCATTTGTTTTAGTCTGTGGTAATAGTAAACTCGTTTGGGATGGCGATATGAGAAAATAATTTTATTTATACAATTTTTTTTCTTTAATTCAAGTTTGGTCTTTTTTGGAACTAATTCATGATTCTCGAATTGATCTTTGTGGTTTATGATGATTATTGTCTAAATGATATATATATATATATATATATATATATATAATATAATATATATTATTATATATATATATATATATATATATATATATATCTATATAGGGAAACGATCAAATGAGAACACCTAAAAGGTTGAGAACGCGAGAACAGGTATATTAATTTGTGATTCCATGTATTCATTTGTGGAGAAATGATAAATTTTTACGCACAATTAACATGAATATGCTTTTTCTCTTCAATTGAAATTAAAGGCGTAAAAATTTATCATTTCTCCACAAATGAATATACTTTGTTCTCGCGTTCTCAACCTTTTTGGTGTTCTCATTTGATCGTTTCCCTATATATATATATATATATATATATATATATATATATATATATTAATATATATATATATATATATATATATATATCTATATATATATCTATATATAATGCGGTGCGATTTAAACCGCAGTTTAGTAATCATAAACCGCAAACCGCACCATATATTGCGGTTTACAAAAACTACAAACCGCACCGCAGACACTGAAAATCGTATTATGCGGTGCGGTGCGATGTGGTGTGGGCGGTTTATGCGGTTTGTTGCACACCCCTAATACTAGACGTCACCTCGCGCGTTGCGCAAGAATAAATTTAAATGGTTAAAATAATCATGAGAAAAAATAGAAATATGTTGAAATTTATGTTTTTAGTTATGTTTTGGGCATTAACCCAATTATCAAATAATATAAAAATCCATCAACTTATCTTTTCATACTATCTAATATAGTTCATACATTATAAACTTTGTTTTTATTTTTATACTATCCAATATATATTATAAGATTTTGTATAACATTAATATAATCTACTTTTCTTATATCCGATAATATTTTTTGGATAAAATAAGAAATAAGTTGTTTTGAATGAGCTATTAATAAACAATATTGAACTAATAAATTTTGTATTACACTATTTATATTACACCAAAACATCCCGTGTTTCCTATATGAACTTTCAAATACTAAACATTGAAATTAAGAATGAAGTCATACAGAATATTTCATTATACATAAATGTCATCAAGAGTTTTAAAATAAGTCGATTAGTAAATATGATATTTAATTTTAATTAAATATTTTGCAAGGCGTACGTTTGACTTTATGTTGGTGCGCCGAGCATCCTCTTCCTTAAGTTGTACCTAAAAAATTAAGCTGATTAGGAATATAAAATAGATATTACTAAGCATTAATATAAATAATTAAAAAGGGTATGGGGATCTCCTACCACCGGTTAAAGACAACATACCTCTCTAGTGGTATCGATTCCTATGTAAAATTGAAGTAGTCATTCTATGTACACCTTGTTTTCTAATTACATGCACTCTAGATAACAAAGATAAAAAAAATGATAAACAAATATGAGTAACCAAACATAAAAATATTTATTTTTATGTAGGAAAAATATTTTAGTTAACTAACAAATTAAATAATATAAGTTTAAGAGTTAGGAGTTTCAAAACATTAATATTTTTATTAAATAATCAATTAAGTAACACATATTGAAATTATTACAATCATTATTAAAAAGCATTTGAAATATTACATTTTAAATGAATTTTGGTTGAAGTGTTTTGACCTCTCTCTCTCTCTCTCTCTCTCTATATATATATATATATATATATATATATATATATATATATATATATATATATATATATATATATATATATATATATATATAGAGAGAGAGAGAGAGAGAGATGGAAAGTATAACATATGTATGAGTTTTAATTAAATATCTTTTTGAAACGGTACAATTACAAAACAAAAAAAACATATTTAAAATATTTAATTAACTATTTTTCACATCACCCTATATAACATATGATCAATATATTAACGATTAAACCACAATATACAACGATTGTATTACAATAATCTAAAAACGAAGAAAATATAAAAACGAATTAGTATAACAAACTTAGAAATTAAAAGCTCTAATATAATAGCATATCTCGAAAAAATGGTTATAAGACCTCAACCCAATACAAAAAACTTTAAGTTTGTTTTTTTTGTGAAATTTGTATATGATTTGTATGCATGTCTTCCCAAAAGATTGACATTTTTATAGGAAACTTTTCACTAAATGCTTATTAAACATAATATAAGTTATAAAACTTTTGAGTGTTAAATCATAATTAAGAAAACTTTTGAGTTGCATCAGTTAAAAAAGGGAATTTCAAATGAATATGGTTTGAGAAAGTTAAAAAAGACGGTTTCAAATGAATGTGATCGTATTTAATATTTTCCTTTTAACTATTTTAAAAAATATACGCTGAATTTTTAAAACTTTATTTGATATTTTAGTTTAGGTTTTAATTTTTACACTATATTTTTAAATTTTATTTAATATATTAATTTAAGTTATGTATTTAACACTATATAGAAGTCAACAAATTTAGTATATCATATTGATAATTCAAGAAGTCTTTCATTTATGATAATGTTTCTAACTAACAACATATTTAAGTTAATAAATTAAGTAAATTATATGGAAATATGAAGAGTTGGGAGTTTCAAATTGATGTGGTGAAAGAAAAAATGATTCATTTATATATATACTAGACGAATTCCCGCACGTTGAGCGGCGCATGTTAAAAATATATTGTTAGAATATAGTTTTCAGACACCTTTTAGTTAATTCGATTCATCAATTTAGGTTCTTTTATTATTATTATATTTAATGTTTTCCTTTTAACTATGTTAAAAAATATATATTGAATTTTTTTTAAACATTATTTGATATTTTACTTTAGGTTTTAAATTTTGCACTAAATTTTTAAGCTTATTTGATATATTAATGTAGGTTATTTATTTAACTATATATTGAAGTGAACAAATTAAGTATATCATATTGATAAGTCACAAATTCTTCCATTTATGATAATGTTTACAACTAAAAGCATATTTAAGTTAATAAATTAAGCATATTGTATGGAAATATGAAAAGTTGGGAGTTTCAAATGAATGTGGTGAAAGAAAAAATGATTCCTTTATAATATAGTATGCTAATTATAGTTTTAATTTTTAAGTCATTGTGATATATACAAATATTTGATAATTTTATAAACCGTTTAAAATTGTGTAAATTATATATGAAACGTATGATAATCTATATATAACAGGTAACAAAATGTATGAACAAAAATATGAACTACAACTTTTAGTAACATAAAAATACAAAAACATCTATTATAACATTTGTATTAAAAAGATATATATACAACGAATAATAAAAAATATGAAAATAACACTACAACTTTTAATAACATAAACACTAAAACTTTTATAACAAAAATTTTAACATTTATTTAATTTTTCACATTTAAATCACAAATCTGTTCAAATACATTAATGTTTTTAATGAGAAAACTTTACAACCTTATAAAAGAAACGAAAATAAAAAGTTATTAGTGATTACTAATTAATAATCATAAGTTAAAAACTCTTGAGTTGTAACTAATAAATATACATAAATTAGAAAACTCTTGAGTTGTAGTGTGAGTTTCAAATGAATACGGTACTTGGAAATGTGTATTTTTATTATTATTATTATTATTATTATTATTATTATTATTATTATTATTGTTGTTGTTGTTGTTATTATTATATTCTTCTAAATAATTGGTTTTGATGCATCATTTTAATCCCTTCATTTATTAAACATAAAGATATTTAATTATAAATTTATAACATACATAGGTGCATATATATGTTAAACAAACCACATATAATATATATTTTCGTAAATGTCATATGTAATTCTTATTGTAGTAATATGGATAAATTACTTTCATATGAAGAATATATCATGA